TTTCATACTTCTGATGCACCAATTGACCCCTTTGAAGAAAAAAATTAAAAGCAAATTGATCGGAAGGGAAAAAGGTCATAACTCAGAGCGTGAACAAAGGCTGGCAAAGGCGTTACTCAAAACAGATTACAACCTTCCATATGCAAGGTGTTTAGTAAACCGATAGAAGAACTAGCGTTATTCATATAACAGTAAATGCATAAGTGGAGCTTGTTGGGGAAGATAAGCTCGTCATATCTCTTTGCGAGTTTGGGGATCCATTTTTTAATTGTATTTTCTAGGAGATGATCGATGGAGAAAATAAAAGAAAAGATTCAAGAAAAGTTTCAAAAATGGCTCGACAACTTTTGTCTCCGAGGTAACTGCTCAAGCGTACGAGCTGGTTTAAAATACTTCACGCGCTACCACCTAAGCATTTTGTTATGGATTATTTTGGGGCGCGGGGCGCACCGTTTCCATTTACATCACTTTGAGCGGCTGGCTAGTAAAAAAAATAAATAAATAAAGAAAAAGCGACTTTACGCTATCATCTCATTTCTGGATTTCCACGAGTTACCTAGACTTTGCTCAATTCTCAGTTGTACGAGTTCCACATGGAAATTCGCAGTTCCATGCAACTACGGAAACGAAGAGTTTTGATGCTTGCACATTTTCGATCATTGATGTTTTTCAAAGTAAATCGCACTGAAGGTAGAACCTTGTAAAAATAAATGAATTAACTTTACCTGAAGTAAAGGGAAAATGTCTTCGATTTACACGTCAGATTTGGCAGACGATCTTTCCTCACTTTTCAGTGTTGTGAGACTGGCGGATTTTTGCTCCCTCCCACGCGTAAGTTACAACTTTCGGGGAATGTAGTGACGACTCTGTGGCAATAGTGACGTCCTCCATGAGCGTGCCTGGAAACTAGTCTGTGACGCCACTCGTTACACTTCAACCCATTTCTTACTGCTTTTTGATGTGTCGTTTTTCTTTTACATTTGATGTTGTTGTGGTTGAAAGACAGAAACTTGTCTGCCATCCTCAGGCTTAACTTTTCATTATTTTGTTTTTTGGTTTTCGACCAATCCTCGTTTCAAATCCTTTGCAATCTAACATTGGCAACGAAGGCCATGATTTTAACTGAAGCGTGACTTTCTCTCACTTGAACTCCCTGTTGATAAATTTAAAAAAGGAATGAATTCAATATGTGATCATTGACACAGAGTACATTGAGATTAGAGAACTGTGATCGCAAAAAACATTTCACTACAACACAATTAGAACATTTTCATTCC